TGTGTGTGCTCCTGTGGGTGTCCATGTGCAGGGACACCCGTGTGCGTGGATGTCCACGTCCTCAGATGTCCCTACACACGGGTGTCCCTGTGGGTGGGTGACCCCATGTGTAGGTGACCCTGTGGATTAGCGTTCCTTGTGGTTGGGTGACACTGTGAGTGGGTATCTCTATGGATGGGTGTTCCCTGTGAGTGGATGTCCCTGTGGGTGGCTGTGCCTGTGGGTCAGTGTCCCTACGGGTGGGTGACCCTGTGGGTGTGGGATCCTACATGTGGATGACCCCGTGGATTGGTGTTCCCTGTGGATTGGTGTCCCTGTGGATGGGTGTTCTCTGTGGATTGGTGTCCCTGTGGATTGGTGACCCTGCACATGGGCAGCTGTTCCTGTGAATGCTCCCATCTCATGGTCCCATTGTTGTGGGAGCATCTGCGGGGACAGGGCTGAGTAAGTTTGGGACAGTGACACCCAGGTGAAGGGACAAGGGGACAGTCCTTGCCCTCTGTGTTCCCTCCCAGGCCATGGGATGTGTGGGTGTGATGGGGGCTCTGGCTCCACAGGGAATAAATCATCTGTCTGACCTGGGAGAGCCGAGCCCAGGGGGTGTCCCAGACAGGGCAAGGGGACACCGTCCTGTGGGAACACTGACCCGTGGGGACAGTGCCTCTCCCCCCCAGGGTACAAGGTGAGGGGTCAGTGACAGCTCCTGTCTCTCCCAGGGCACGAGGTGAGGGGTCGTGCTCGGTGGCAGCGTCAGCAGGAGGAAGCTGAACACGAGCTCTGGCTATTTTTGGGTGCCGGTGGTGACACACTGGGGCCAGACACAGGGAGAAAGTGTCCCCAGGTCACTCGGGGACTTGGTCACTTTGACCCCACAGTCCCCAAGACGAGGGGACGTGCTGCAGCCACGGGGCTCAGGGACACCCAAACCCCCAGCTGGGTCCGTCTGGAGACAGGGGATGGGGGCAGGAGGAGGATTGTCCCCAAGGACTGGGGGACACAGAATCCCATGGCCACGGGTGACCCCACACACACTGGGGTGGGTCTGGGGGATGCACTGACCCCAACCCCATTGCCATTGGACCCCAAAGTGAGGGGACACATGGGGGGACCCCTGCTGTGGGTCCCACAGCCCCGTGCCTGTCCGTGTCCCCAGTGTCCCCCCGACACACAGAGCATCCCTGGGGGCACACATGTGTGTCCCCACACACAAAGGGGTCACATATGTGCCCCCACACGCACATGGAGCAGGGACAGGCTCACGTGTGTCCCCCCACAAGGAGCTGGGGGCTGAGGGGGGGTCACACATGTCCCCACACCCCCCAGGAGTCCCTAAATGTCCCCACGCACCTCCTGGTGCTCCCCGTGCCTCCGTGTCCCCAGCCCAGCCTCCCTGTCCCCCGAAGGACACTGTCCCTGCCGGTGTCCCCAAGTTCCGACCGTGTGCCACCGCCACGGGCAGCACCCGCCCCCTCCCCACGTCCCTGCGGTGGGCACACACCCCGTGCCCAGCCCTGCCCCGCCTCAGTTCCCCACACCCCGCACCCCCAGCCCCGCGGAGCCCGCGCACAGCTCATGACACAAGTGCCCCTCTCTCTGTCCCCCCGTCTCAGCCGCAGCCCGGGGGGCCCGGCGGGGCTCGGTGGCCGGTGGCGGGTGGCCGGGTGGCCGCGCCGGGAGTGGCCGCTGCCAGCGCTGCCAGGGGGAGTATTTCTGGAGCGCGCTGTGCTCTTTCCAATCATGTGATGAGGACGTTATTTAAGGCGGCGGCGGGGCCGGAGCAGCTGCAGCCGGTGCCACGCTCGCAGCGCGCCGAACCAAACCCCGAGCGCCTGCGGACCCCCTGAGACCCCCTCACCATGGTGGAAGCCTTCGTGGGCACCTGGAAGCTGGTGGAGACCAACAATTTCGATGAGTACATGAAGGCTCTGGGTGAGTACGGGGGGCTGAGCAGGGTTGGAGTCACATCATCACCTTTTTTTTTCTGTACACCCCTCTTCCCCGGATTGCCTGGTGAAGCCCCCCACACGCGGGGGTCTGGCCTGGGGGGATTTGCAGGTGGCGGGGGAGTCGTTGCTGCCTGGGTGGGTGCTTTACTGGGAGGGGCTCTGGGGTTCTGTGCGCGGGGCTTTGGGCTGGGTAAGGGGGTCTCGGGCTGGGGAAGGTGGCCTCGTTCTTCCCCTGGGCAACCCTTGGCAGAGGGTGGAGGGATGAGATGCCTCCCCCCGGGTGCTGGGAGCCACCCGGGACCCTCCAGCCCTTACTGGCCCCCAAGCCCCCCAGCCCCTGGGCAGGGTGTGTCACCCACGCCGGAGCAGCGCGGGGAGGGGGCACAGGCACCGGTGCCCCCCTCACCCATCCCGGGAGCTGGTGGGCGCCGGTGCAGGATCCATCCCTTAGCAACGACAGCATTCCCTGGACGCCCCTTTGTGCCCCAGAGCCCCCCCAAGTGTGGCAGGCACACAAAGCCCCCCAGGACCGTGGGTGGGGAGCAGTTTCGGGGATGAATCACGGGGAGGGAGGGAGAGCTCCGGGGTGATGCCGCAGGGATCGGAGGAGCATCCTGCCCCTCCATCGCCCTCACCCCCCACCCTCTCCCCCCAGGCGTGAGCTTTGCCACGCGGCAGATGGCCGGGCTCACCAAGCCCACCACCATCATCGAGCTGAACGGAGACAAGGTCACCGTGAAGACCCAGAGCACCTTCAAGAACACCGAGATCAACTTCAAGCTGGGCGAGGAGTTCGACGAGACCACGGCAGACGACAGGCACGTCAAGGTGAGCCCCCGGCCCTGCCCCCAGCCCTGCCCACCCCACAGAGGCTCTCTGGGCTCCGAGGGGTCCAGCCCGTGGCTCCAGGGTTCTGTCCCGGTTCCCTGTGGAAAGGGAACACCCCTCTGCCCGCCGGGGTTGGTGCTCGAGCCTGGTCTGGTCCACACAACCCCCCCTGAGCCCGTTTTGCAGCTCTGGGAGCAGGATGGGCCCTGGAGCTGACGGGAAGGTTGTGCAAGAGCCTGTGCAAGAGCCGGGCTTGCAAGTGCCAGCTTGCTCAAGAGGAGGCCAGGGGATGTAGTGAGGTGGTGGTGAGTGTCCCCACGCCGGCGGGAGAGGAGCACGAGACCTCTTTTTTGAGCCCCCTCTTTGCTGAGCCCCCTCTTTGCTGAGCCCCCTCTTTGCCCACCCTCCCAAGCAGGCAGCTCTGCAGGCAGGGACAGGGACGGAGCACCCGGACAATCCCACCTGGCTGGTGCCTCCCCAGGGGCTGATGCATCCCCGGGGGTCCCCGGGGAGCCCAAAATCTTCTGGGCAGAGCTGTTCCTCACCATAAGAGCAAGGGGAAAATCGCCTAAGGGAGTTCAGAGCACCTTTCATGGCCTCTCCCACCCTGCAGAGACATTTTCCCTTGCAGGACTGACCCAGCCCCTGCTTTTCCCTGGTTTCCAGCTGCTGGTCCCACACACCACTGAATCCCCCATGCAGGGAGCAGCCGGCAGCCCCGTGCCCCCCAACCCAGCCCGGGGGGAACCTCAGGGGGCACCTTGGGGCTCGCTGGGCACAAAACCCCTTCCTGGCCCCAACGCAGGAAGCACAAGGGCTGGGCAGGGAGTGAGGATGGGGGGGAAGGGAGGGAGTGTGAGCCGGGCAGACACGGGGCAGCAGGGCCCTGCCCACCCCCATTCCCACCCCCATTCCCACCCTCCGGAACTGCTGGAAACTGTTCAAAGCAGCAGGAACGTGTGACCAGCCAAGAGCTCCTGCCCAGACCGGGGACGTGGTGCCCCTCGGCCGGGGGCCAGAGGGCACGTGATGGTTCAGCAGGGGCCAGGACGAGCCATGGGCTGCAGGGCTGGGGCAGGGGGGGTGTGTGGAGCTGTGGGGCACCCACGATCGCATGGAATCATGGAATGGTTGGGTTGGAAGGGACCTCAAAGCCTATCCTGTTCCACCCCCTGCCATGGGCAGGGACACCTTCCACCAGCCCAGGTGGCTCCAAGCCCCATCCAACCTGGCCTTGGACACTTCCAGGGATCCAGGGGCAGCCACAGCTTCTCTGGGCAACCTGTGCCAGGGCCTCCCAACCCTCACAGGAGAAGTTTCTCCCCAGGATCCCATCTAACCCTGCCCTCTGGCAATGGTTTCCAGGGCTGTGGGGCACCCAAATTCCTGTAGGAACCCAAACTCTTGGGCACCTGAGCAGTGGGGACAACCCAGATATGGGGAGAGCTGAGCTCTGGGGGAGCACCCAGAGCCCTGTGCAGTCCTGGGGCTGTGGGGACACGGGAGCTGTGGACTGACCCAAGCCATGGGGGCACCCGAGGGGGGCAGCCCCAGCGCTGGAGGGGCGGGGTGGGGGGCACAGGGCAGGATGGGGCCGGGGCAGTGCCTGTCCTGGCACAACCCCGTGCTGTCACACCACCCTTGGCACGGCCGGGCTCGGGGCTGAGTCAGCAGCAGTGGCCCGGCGAGCAGAGGCGCGTTTGCTGGATCAGCTCCTCCAAAAACCCTCCCAAGCCCTCCGGAGGGCAGGGAAGCTGCGGTTCAAAGCCCCGGTACCTGCCCCGATACCCGCCCCGCCTCTCCGAGCCCTCCGGCGCCGGGGCCGGCGAGCCGCGCTGGGGAGCGGCCGCGCTCATCTCCCGGGGCCCCGCAGCAGGATGTGGCCCCGGACAGGGCTCCCTGCGCTGGCCCCGGGGCAGGGAGGGCACAGTGGGGCAGCCGAGGCCGTGACCAAGCAGAGGACAGTGCGGGACCCGTCCTGGGTTGAGAAGGACTAACCAAGCCGGGTGGGATGATCCCAGATGGGCATCCCGAGGGTGGCACCCACAGCCTGATCCCGAGCACTGAGGGGCTCCGGGGTGAGCAAAGGACACCCAGCACCGTCCCCTCCAAGGGACAAAGCCCCCCCAGAGCCCTGAGAGCCCGGGAAGGAGGGTTTCACAGCAGGCCTTCTCTCTCCCCACAGTCTGTGGTGAAGCTGGACGGCGGGAAACTCGTCCACGTGCAGAAGTGGGACGGGAAGGAGACATCGCTGGTGCGGGAGCTGAAGGATGGGAAGTTAACTCTGGTAAGGAAAGGGTGTTAAACCCGGGAAGGGCTCAGCCCAGGGCAGGCCTAGAGCTGGACTAACCCCCCTCTCATCATCTGCCCCCAGACTCTCACCATGGGCAACGTGGTCTGCACCCGCACCTACGAGAAGGCGACATAGACGCTGCCCCAGCCCTCTGCTGTCACCCAGTGCCACGTCCATCCCACACCCACATCCCCACCCCGTGCTGGGCACAGCTCCACGTGGGACTGGAGCCGCTGCACCGCCGGGGCCTCCTGCTGCCCCCGCCCCGGTGCCTCCCGGGGCTCCCGGGGCCTGGGGGGTGGGTCTGTGGTTTGTTGTTGGGGTTGTTTTTTTTAATTAATAATGGGAAAACTCGCATGGAAAAAGAATAAAGGCCGTGTTGTTACAGCTCTGTGGTCAGTTTGCTTGGAAAAGGCTGGTTTGGCACGTGCCCATCCGTAGTGTTCAGCCACCACACGGGGTTCAACCAGCCCTGGGAGGGATGGGGTTAATGCCCACTGATCCCTGGAGCCCATTTCTCCAAGCTGTGGAAATAAGAGGCTGTGATGATTAGAAATGTGCTTTCCCAGGGGGAATATTTGTTCAGTCCCACGGCAGCTCTGCCCATGGATTGCCCAGGATCCAGACAAGCTCCTTCCCTGGAGAGTGATCCTTCTACCAGGGCAGGACTGGAATCAAGGTCCCGAGCATTTGGTGGCTGGTTTTGGGAAGGGAACTGGCCCCGAGGGGGGATGCAGCCATGGGGAACTGGGGTGAGCAGCACAGGAAAGGGCAAAGCACACGGAGAAGGGACGGGCTGCACCAGCAACCCCAAATCCTCCCGCTGTGACACCAACAGGGAGCTGCCAACCCCACTCTGACCTCCCTGTAGAGCCAGAGGTAACAGGAAAGACTCACCTCCCCAACTGCTTCACCACATCTGTCCCAGCACGGACGAGCTGCTCCTGCTCCTGGCAGACACCCCCTGAGGTCACTGCCCAGCCCCTGCCATCCCTTCCCCCTGACCTTCAGCTCCAGTTACAAGATTTATGCTCCAGCTGCTCCCTCCCAGAAGGTGCCAGGCTTCTCCTTATGGGTTACCTCACCACACACCCCCTTCCCACCCCCAGGACCTGGGGAAGCAGCCAAGACTTCCAAAAAAACCCTTTCCTGCAGGTCTGTGCCCTGCTCCTTCCCTGCCCGAGTGTGGTGGGGACAGAAGAAAAGAGCAGCTACAAAGTACAGCTGGAAATGGAAATGGCAGAGATTTCTTTTCCATCACTTTGCAAGGCAGCAAACACTGCACAGTGTTTACTGACAATATCTCCACTCCCCACATGCTTCTCGCTCCTCCACTCCCAGTGTTTGCAGACAAAGAGGGAGCTGGGGCAGCTTTGCAGCCCAAAGCCAAGGAGGGGGGGGACGTGGCCCCATCCCAGGGCCCAGCAACACCCACTGCTGCCCCTGAGCAGTGTGGGGACAGCCTGGCAGTGCCACCTCAGCCCTGCAGGAGCTGATGTCACCCAGGCTCCCGCTGGCAGCGATCGAGCGGAACACGAGGCTGCAGGACAGGAGAGGTGCCCTGGCGAGGTGCCCAGGAGAGGTGCCCTGCAGGGTGTCATGAGCCTGTCCTGGCACGAGCTGTGGGAGAAAGGGGCAGCCTGTGTCAAGGTGACAGAGGACAACCTATAGCAAGGTCACACCTGTAACACACCTGTAACACCACGTGCCTGGGTGACTTTGAGAAGGAAACTCTGTCCCTGGTTCCTGCTGGCTGCTCGTGGTGTGCACCAGGGACTGGCAATGCCAGCACCCCACCCTGCCCCTGCTCATTCCCAGGGCTACTTCCTGTGCTTCTTCTTCTTCTTCTTCTTCTTGGGAGCCTTGGAATGCTTGCTCCTCTTGCTGGAGGGCTGAGCCCCTGAGCTGTCCGAGTCTGAGCTGTCCGAGTCCGACTCCGAGGACTCCTTCGCCTTGTGCTTCTTCTTCTTCTTCTTCTCCTGGGAAAACAAATGGAAAACATGTGGGAACACCGTCACCTGTGCTCACCAGGGCAGCAAGGGGCTTTGTGTCCCTGTGCCTCACAGCTGTTCCTGCCAGGAAAGGGCACTGTGCCCCAGGAGGCAGGAGTTAACCCCCACTGTGGGCCCACAGCTGCAGCAACCAGGGACAGGGGATGGCACAGATCAGAGCAGGGGGGAGAAACATGTAAAGCCAAGCCTGGAAAGACTTAGACCAAAAGGAGAGTCCTTGCCCTCACTCCACAGTGAGAGCTCACTCCGTTATTTAAGGTTGATCTTTATTAATACAAGTTGGAAGGATGAAGCTTTTTCGCCCCAAAAATGGGTTTCTAAAATAGCCATGAGCACCATCCCTGCAGCCTCACGCCGTCAGCAGCCCCCAGAATGCCAGGAGATGGTCAGTGATGTGCTGGAGCTCTCCAAACACAGCTGTTCCTGGCAGGAGAGCCCAAGCCATGCCCATCGGAGCTTCCTGCAGCCGGGATGAACCCAGTGCCCTCCCAGCACCTGCAGCTCTGGGCACAACCTCCCTGCAGAGACTGCACCCCCTCCTGCCCCCCAGCTTCCCACTGCACCCCTCCTGCCCCCCAGCTTCCCACTGCACCCCCTCCTGCCCCCCAGCTTCCCACTGTACCCCCTCCTGCCCCCCAGCTCCCACTGAACCCCCTTCTGCCCCCCAGCTTCCCATTGTACCCCCTCCTGCCCCACAACCTCCCACTGTACCCCCTCCTGCCCCTCAGCTTCCCACTGCACCCCCTCCTGCCCCTCAACTTCCCACTGCACCCCCTCCTGCCCCACAACTTCCCATTGTACCCCTTCCTGCCCCCCAGCTTCCCATTGCACCCCCTCTTGCCCCACAACTTCCCCTGCCCCTCCTCTTCTGCTCCCCAATTTCCCATTGCACCATCCTGTGCTCCCCAACTTCCCCTGCACCCTCTCCTGCTCTCCTGGATTCCCGCTGCACCCGCTCATGCTCCCCAACTTCTTCTGCACCCTGTTCTCCTCCCCAGTTTCCCTTCCACACCCTCCTTCTCCCCAACTCCCACTGCACTCCCTCCTGCCCAACTTCCCATTGCACCCCCTCCTGCCCCCCAACTTCCCACTGCATCCCATCCTGCTCCCCAACTTTCTCTGCAACTCCTCTCCTGCCCCACAACTTCCCCTGCACCCCCATCTGCTCCCCAGTTTCTCCTCCACCTTCTCCTGATCTGGATTCCTTTGCACACCCTCTTCCTCTCCAGCTTCCCTTGCACACCTTCCTGCTCCCCAGATTTCTCTGTACCCCCTCCTGCTCCCCCACTTCTCACTGCACCCCCTCCTGCTTCCCAACTTCCCATTGCATCCCTGTGCTCTCCACCATCCCTTGCACCTCCTCCTGCCTCCAACTTCCCCCTGCAGGCCCTCCTGCTCCCCACCTTCCCTTTGCATCCCCTCCTGCTCCCTAACTTCCCATTGCACCCCTGCTGCTTTCCTGGATTCCCACTGCATCCCTTCTTCTCCCCAACTTCCCATTGCACCCCCTCCTCTTCCCCAGTGTTTCTTCCACCCCCTCGTGCTCTCCTGGATTCCCTTGCACCCCCTCCTGCTCTCCCACATTCCCCCCTATCCACGACACATGGAGCTCCCCAGGCTGTGTTTCTGCAAAGCCCTGAAGCAAAAGCTCCAGGAAGCTCCAGACCCATCATTCGGATGCAGAACAAGAACAGCTGGTGCTGGAATAAAGGTCACAAGGAACTTTGAAATGCAGCTAAACCCTCAAATTTGAGGCACGTGAGAAACTACCAAGCAGAGATTACACCGAGATCAGGCCTGGGTGCACTGGAATTGCATCAGCAGAGCACCCCAAAGCACTGAACACTGATGATGGAGAGCAGCAATTTGTATTTAATCAGAAAACAGTGCTGGGGAGAGGATGTGATCAGCCTGTGCTGGCAGCACACACAGCCCAGCTGCTGCATCCCCTTCCAGCACGGAGAGGGGGAATGCTGGGGCCATCCAACCCCCATCCTGCAAAAAACTGAGGGATTCCCTTGCTTCTGGGAACTAAAGGGAAGGGGGTGAGTGGGCCTCTAAAAATAATTGTGATATCTTGCATATATTTAATATAAAGCTCCAACTTCCCAACCAAAAGCAACACCGGCCTACAATAGGGAGCTACAATTTCATCCATGGCCACATCAGCAGCAAAGAGAGACTTCCCTGGCAAATGGCTATCAGGGAATCAGGGAATGGTTTGATTTGGAAGGAATCCTAATGATCACCTCATTCCACCCCCTGCCATGGGCAGGGACACCTTCCACCAGCCCAGGTTGCTCCAAGCCTCGTCCAACCTGGCCTTGGACACTTCCAGGGATCCAGGGGCAGCCACAGCTTCTCTGGGCAACCTGGGCCAGGGCCTCACCACCCTTCCAGGAAAGAATTCCTTCCCAATATCCCATCTATCCCTGCCCTCTGGCAGTGGGAGGCCATTCCCCCTTGTCCTGTCCCTCCATCCCTTGTCCCCAGTCCCTCTCCAGCTCTCCTAGAGCCCCTTTAGGCCCTGCAAGGGGCTCTCAGCTCTCCCTGGAGCCTTCTCCTCTCCAGGTGAACCCCCCCAGCTCTCCCAGCCTGGCTCCAGAGCAGAGGGGCTGACCAGGAATTTTTGCTCTATTCAAGGACATAAAGAGGACACAAGGGAAGAACAAAGGAGGGTTTCATGGAGCAGGGATGGGCAGTGAGGTGACCCAAGCCTGTGAGAGTGCCTGGGATAGCCCTGGACAGCCCCAGTGAGGAATGTGGCCCAGCCAGGACAGCTGCTCTGACCACCCCAGTTTTTAGGCATCCGTGCTCCAAGTGAGCAGCACCTGCCCAGGTGCCCACATGTGCAATGACTGCTGCACCCACAGGACTGGGCACAACCTTTCCCAAACTGTTCTCTTCCATATTTTAACCCCTCAGCCACAAACTTCTCCTGAGGAGCAAATTGCTTGGGGAAAGTGTCCTCATGCAGAGAGAAGAGAAGGCTGATTCCTCCCTCTTCCATTAGCTCCAGCCATTTCCATACAAGTGGAGCTTCCCTACAAATATTCCTACTCCAGATCATGGAGAGACAAGCTGTGTCTGTCTGTATTTCCTTTAAAACCAGGGACATGATTTCTCATGGATTGGGTATCCCAGCACCAGGCACAGCCTGTC